CTCCCAGTGTATTAGGCAATACTCCCGGCACCCACAATGGCTACCACGTATAATGGTTACCATGGTGATTAGCCAGCGTGTACATGGGGAGTTTTACAGGGAATGCCTACAGGGGGTGCGCGCGAATCAAATGCAAACTTGAAAACTTAAATTATTTGAATTATATTTATTGTAATTTATTATAATTAGTTTTACATAGAATATAAAATTAAATTAATAAACAGGGTCAACGCAATTACACAGCAATTAAATGTAACTAATAGTTATGTGGACAGTGTGTATGAAATACTGTACAAATGAGACATAAAAAATGAGAATCAATTGAAATGTTAGACTATTTATGGGTTAAGTTTGCTCCCGTTTGGGTGGCCGACCCCTACGCCTACCCGTCCCGGAGCTGGTGCTGTGGGTGCGGAAGTGTCAGTACAATCACCTACACATCCCTAATCCTATCCGGTGATCACTTTATGCATCAACTCATTCCGTGTATTGACCGGTATTTTATCGAAATAGTACTTAACCACAGCGTCTTTGAGCGCCTGTAGCACCCGTTCCGCTCTGGCGTTTTCGACATCAGTGGTCACCCTAATGGCACACTTGCGGCGCAAATCATAATCCATTTCCATCCACTTATCCATCCCCTCATCATCGCTCACATCGATGTCAATCACTTCGACAGTAGCGTCCGGCCGTCGAATCGGTGTCACTGTTCGCAGGCGTCGACTCGGGTTTGGTTTGCCGTTCACTCGCACGACACTACCGGTGCCCACCCGGCGCTGCACGTCCGCCACCCGGCGCTCGATCTCCTTAACCACTCGCGGCGTCTCCGATATCTTATCCAAAATCGTTTCGTTCGGATTAAACGCTTTCTACAGAATATTTAGACCAAAAACACAGACATTTTAACTACCGATTCGTCACCACAACTGTTCCCAAACACTAACCAACACACGGATCCAGTGCCCGAAAGAGCACACGTGTAGATACATGTCGTACGAGTCGTGGAACTTTTGGCACAGTTGGCACTCATAGGTAGGCTGTCCGGAGTCGGCGCACGTGTACTCCGTGACAAACTCCAGGCCCGCTATCGGCTCCGTTGACTGCGCCATAAACTTGGCAAACGTCAGCCTCTTTTCCTGCTTTTGGTGGCTGTCCGACGATAAGTGGCTGTCGATCGCCGACAACGAGTCAATGGATTTGTCGCAAAACTATTGGTTTCATTCAAATCAAAATCAAATAATTCATTCATTGATGTCTCAAAAATAAAATAAACCAATGATAGACATTATGAGGGCTTACATTGCAGTGGTAAGGGTGGGCCCCACCGGGGTTCTGGAGGCGTATGCCTTTGATGTAATAGTAATGCTTGCACTCAATGGGTATGCGATCCAATTCCATGCGTAACACAGTGTCGGCTATAATTTTAACCAAAAAAATCAATTAAAATCAACAAAATTAAACCCAAAATCTTAATCCACTGACCGGTGAGTCCAATGGACGCAAGTTTATCATCGGCTATAAACTGATCCGAAATCAACTTCTTATTCAACGGATTCTGCAGAGGATTCGCCGCATTTCTACTCATATTCTGTGACCGAAAACACAAACAAAACATTCAGTAATTCAATTCAATTCCCAAAAAAACAATTATTTAAATCTGTATTACATTTCTATGGGCATAGAGTTTACAGTGCTTTCCGAGCGCCTGTAGTTCATCGATATATGTGTCGCAATGGTAGCAATAAAAGCCTATATTCTGGTCCTCCATGTCCACTATCTTGATAATGCCGTCGCTTTCATATCCTGGCGCTAATGAGTCGCGCATAACACGCGACCCTTTGGACACCACTAGACCACTGGGCCCGGAGTTGGGCTGAAACAACGGACCGACAGTCGACTGTTGACGGCTAACCCCCGACCTCTGGCTGCTGAGCGTCGACTGTCTGCCCATTAATGTCCGCCTCGATGACAGGGATGTCTGTTTGGTAGTCAACGTATGTTTAGCCGCCGACACTAACTGATTAGCTCTCATTCGCCCAAACCGATCGCCAATAGGCGGCGCCTGACCTCCACTTTTAGTTGTGTTCTTAAGTATGGGTCTTAGCTGTTGAAATGTAGGCTTTGCAGCTACCGGTGCTCTCTTAGACACAGCAGCGATGGCCGCTTGCAGTGCGTTCACACTCTGGAGCGCCCTTTTGGTGCGGTTTTGTTGGACTAGTATCTCGTGGCGAGTCATCAATGACCTCATGGGACGGGCATTTAGTTCACCGAGTGGTGACACCTCAGGGAACTGATCTACTGTAGCCAACGGGCGCACCCGGTTGACAGACTGCCATCCCTGGCCACTGTTGGACTGGTAGTCAATGACTTTGGCTGTGTATGGCATAGGGTTACCGCTATATGGTATCCCTGTGCTCCTAGCCTTGGGCGGCGACGTGTGGTTAATAAGCGTCGGCTTATAGGCACGTCTGGGCGAACGCATAGCCCCGCGCCGGGAGGTATGGGACGCCATCCCCGACCCGTTTGTGGGAAACGACGAGTGAATGGCAAACGAGTCGCTCGTAATCAACGGCTCCGACAACTGGCGAACGATAGACTCATTGACAGCCGCTATGGACACGAAAAACAGATAATTATAATGAGATAATCACCAGAAACTGGTGCTCAAGACATGTACCAATTGTCGATGGGTTGATCATCGGTGTGGCCGCACGTGATTGGCTGCTCGTGAGGGGCATACCTCCGAAGCCCATGCGCTGATCGAAGCCCTTAAACGTCGATTTATTCAATTGTCTTCTGCGGAGCTCTTCGGTGGCGAAAAACTCGGGAGTTATGTGTTGTCTGTTGTCGGCGTAGGAGGTGGTGGTGGGGGTCATCCGCGGTGTCACCGACCTCTTGATGGGACTCCTGGAGTTGTGGTACTGCCCGAGCACTTGATTCACGTACTCTTCGGTGAAGTAGAGATTCATGTTGTGGTCGACTCTTCAGCGGATGCGTTGATTCAATTGGATTTACATGACATCTAATTTGGGATCAAATTCAGTGACAAAACCCGAAAATACAAATCAGTTTCGCTTTTGTGTGCAAAATGTTCACTCATTGTAAATACAGACGTTATTTGTGAACAACTCCTAAACTAATGAATAAATTGTGTGAAAAACTTTAATTTAGTGTTAATTATGAAAACTAATTAAATAATTAAATTTATTACAGTACACTACTTATTAATTAATTTAATTAAAATCTTAAGACTAGTGCCGCATAAATACACACAATGTATGGAAATAGTATTGATTTATTGCATCACTAGTTTTCGATAACGTTACGTATGTCCACAAAAACCGTAACACACATACAGCTGAGGGTAACACAATTGCATTAGCAAACACTGTGTGGGGGCAGTAAACGATTCACTTTACTCCCCCTGCAACAGCATTTGTGAACAACTCCTAACAGTAAACAAAAACAAACTGCGATTAAAACAAGACTTCAATTGGTTTTCAATGAATCCCTAAAAAACTCTTCATTTGAGTATCAAATCAAACAAAAATGTAAACCAAAACACCGGACACACGATCACCGCATCTGATCCCAAGACATATGGCGCGAGCGTTGGCGCTGTCGTCCAAGACGTTGATCCGCGAAATACATTCACAGCCAAGACTTGGCGGACACAGACCTCCGCCACCGCCACTGCCATCCACTGCAAGACAACGGATCCCAACCGTTGTCACAACCAGACAATCGCACCGCACGTGCCAACCGCTGGAACCGCTGCCGACCTCTGCAGAGATCCCTATCAATGGCCATCACTGCCATCGACACCGACCTCTACAGCGGCAGCCATTCCTCGCCAGACAATCGCACCATTCGTTTGGAGCTCATGAGCCACTCGTTGGACAGCACCGCAGGTCTTACCACTCGTACGGCACTCGGGAACAGTTGCTGACCACTCAAGAGGTGGCCACAGCGTTGAGGCCCTTCTACTTCGTCGTACATCCGGACCGCTTCTGGAGGTATCCGACGGCCAAAGACCGCAACGAAGACTCACTGAAACTGTTGAATGAATACATCGATGACGTGATGGCCAGTCGTGACTCGCGAGTCGACAGACGTATCACATTCTTCTTGAGACAGGCCGTGGCTAACGACTCATTGGACAGCCTATCGGCGACTACTACTACTACGGGTGCAACGGCTGATGGACAGGCGGTACGGTTGAAGGAGATCAGCATAAATCTGTTGAGGCGTGAGAGTGTCAACCGGATTGTCCACAAAATACTGTCCGAATGCCAACTGTCCACCGATTATCTGCGAAAAATCGGTAAACAGCCCAACAGTGCGGCCGAGACTACCGTTCCTTCCGCCGCCGCCGCCGCCGCCCCCAACCATAGCACCGGTCGCTCGCAACCGATACACGACTTCTGGATTCGTTTCAATCAAACCCAAAGTCATGGCAAACAAGACGCCGAAGAGGACAACACCGAAGAGTTCATCGAAACGCTACACAAGAGAAAGGATCCAAACCTGACGGCTTGGCTCCGGGAGAACCGGGAGGTGGCTATGGGTCGACTCGAGCGCAGCGAACCCGTGCGCCAGGAGTTCCGGCGATTGGCCGATAGGATTACCGACGAACTCGGGCTCCGGGAACTCATTTGGCGCGACTGCCAGTGGGGCGTATCGCACGTGAGGGCCGCCCTCAAGGGGGTCGACACGTTGAGCCGACAGCATCGCCAGGAGTTCCGTGTGCTCGAGGGCCGGACCCTAGTGTTTGGCCGCCAAACCGGTGTCTCATTCGACGGACACGTGGTTCTCAACATCGAAGACGTGCGACACAATTGGCTCGAACTGATCCGCCGTATAGACCAATACGACGAGCACTTGCGACAGATACCGGTGCTCGAGGGCTGCCTATCAGGTGTCTTACGCGGCGTACAGATAGAGCACCGCAAGTTTCGACCGTCGGTTCCCGTCAAGAGCTACACGAAACACGTGAGGAAACTCACCGGCGCTCTGGTCGAGCACATCGCAGAGCGCGGGCTACCGGCCCACTGGCCACCGACGCTCAGCTCCTATCAACTGGTGGTCGAGTGCGAGGCGGGCCCACTCATGGTGTCGCCCACCGGCCAGTTCATAGTCCCCGCCTCCTGTCCCGCCCATCTGTTTGTGGACTTTATGTCGCAAAACCTGTTTAAGTCCCGTCTCTTACGGGATATGTATTTGACGTATAAGTCCCGGGAAGACCTCATTATCACGCAATGCGTGGACGCTCTGTCCCTACACTCCATCGAAAAGGACGACAACGTGACCCCTGACCTCATGATCCAGTGCTGCCAACGCCTGATAGCTAATAGGGACGCGTTGGATGACTTGAGGGACTGTAGGCTCCGGGTGTCTCACTATTACTCCGTGCTATTGGACGGAGAGGTGTGTATTCCCTGGAGTTTTAACCCGTAAGCACTCGACTGTCCCATAAGGGGGAGTTTAAAGTCCCGGTGCTGTCTTCAAATTCTAGTCGTATACTAATCTGGAACTATTTCCCGGCCCTAGAAATCCCGTTCCCATTCATATTCCGTGCGAATTACTTATGCATCAACTGATAGACCCGACCCTCCCGTACGGGAATGGGAGTAGTTTTAATTTTCAAGGGACCGAAAGGGAACGGGATTTAAATATGTTTAAATGTTTAACGCGAATTTTAATGAATGTATAATCAAAATGATATATAAAATTTAACTCATACTACACTCGAACTCCGTTATAGCGAACCCAATGTGTTCATTAAACCGTTAATTTGTTATTATGAAGTAAATTTGTAAAAATGTGTGATATGTTAATGATTTTAAGTACACTATTACTTGTGGTTCATTATAACGGGGTTCTGGTTATAATGAAATTGATTTGACTGTAAAATATAAAGTTTGAATTTACTGTAAATATAAATAACGTTAGATCTGTTTTGTATAAATAGAAATTTATTTAGCATGTACGTGTATAATTTGTAATTAAATCTTAGCTTATTAAGTTTTCAAATACTATTTGTTGTGTACAACAAAAAAAAAATAAAAATTTAATTATTTAAAATCCCAAACCGAGTGTAGACTGTATTCATACACATATCTATGGCTACTGTTTATACACGTAATCAATGTATGCATTGATAGGTAAATAACATTGCATTGAATAGTGAGTGAAAAAACATAGGATACTAACCGTTATTATTACTGTTATGAGTGTCTTAACCATTGGATCCGTTTGTGGTGATAGTCATGTCGACCGGTGGTAACGCTAAGACGAGTGGCAGCAACAGTGGCGGTGATAATCAGCTGACCGCCGATGAGGCCAAGCATTTGTTGACAGTCATGATGAGAGCCAAAGTGAGTGTCCAATCCATATGTCTTGAGATCGCGCGAAGACTTACCATTCAGTGTGACACGTTTGACACATAAACACGAGTATATCCCTCGTGTTTGTCTCATATGTTGAATACTAAACCACTTATAAAGTTATTATCACTTGAATTCAGTGATAATACCATTGAATCAATAGCTAGTATACG